CCCAGCCCTGCCTCTGAACACATGCCTTGTCAAACCCCGAACCTCGCTGCCAATCTGCTCTCACAGATGGATATTTCCACTCAGAAGAATAGAAACATCAAAATATTGTCAGGGACCACCTGGTGCACCCATCGGGCTGCTAGCCATTTCGGAAAGCCTTGCAAAGCAAATGCAATCCCCCGGAATATGGAAGCATATGGTGCTCCCTCGAGAATTTAGCACCAACACGGAAGAGAGACATTCAAATGAGGATTTCGGGATTGCAATGCCCAAGGAGAACTGGTTTGTATGCGTGAGGAGCTTCCATCCCAAGCCATCGAGAAGGAGGAAAATCCCCAAGGAATCCACTGACCTATATGAATTGGCAAGGACATGCACACTGTCAAATTAAAAAAAAAAGACTGGCAGGGACAGAAATGCAGTTTCCAACCCAATAAATCTGGTGGAAGCAACCGCTCACGTTGCCACTCGGTCTCATTGTGTAGGATCAATTATGGGACGAACCCAAGACGGATACCCTTTGATTCCTACGTCTTGCTGTGTTTATTTACATGGTGGGAAAAGAAGAGGCGCCGCATCTTCTGGCTGCAGAAGGTCAAGCAGCTGGGCTGCAGTATCTGCTGAGCAGGAATGAGTCAGAGATAGATATGATATAACTAGTGTATCTCTACCCAGAATTGCCAGGTTTCGTTGCCTACCTTCTCCCTTCTCCAGCTCCGAGAGGACAACAGGATCCATTTGCAGGGCCACCCATCCTTTGTTTCAGTGACCTGGACAGTATAATAGTATTGTCAAAGGCTTTCATGGCTGGAATCACTAGGTTGTTGCAAGTTTTTCAGGCTGTACAGCCATGTTCCAGAAGCATTCTCTCCTGACATTTTGCCTGCATCTATGATAGAGTTTGTGAGGTCTGTAGGAAACTAGGAAAATGGAGTTTATATATCTGTGGAATAACGTCCAGGGTGGGAGAAGGAACTCTTGTCAGAGCGGTCAACCCCTCTGTTTAAGGAGCTCCACTGGCTGCCATTCATTTTCCGGTCGCAATTTAAGGTGCAGGTTCTTACCTACAAAGCCCTGAACAGTTTGGGACCCACCTACCTGCGTGACCACATTTCTGTGAACAAACCCACAAGGTCTCTTCGTTCATCTGGAGAGGCCTCCCTCGCAGGCGCAAGTGGTGGGGACGAGGGAGAGGGCCTTCTCAGTGGTGCCCCCCCCCCCCCACTCTGCAACTCACTTTCCAGGGATATCAGGCATGCCCCAACATTGGCAGTCTTTAGGAGGAGCCTGAAAACGTGGCTGTTCCAGTGTGCCTTCCCGGAATAAGGAAATAATTCCCAGCAAAATGTCCTCAAATGCACAGCTAAAACTCATGCACCAGCTGCGCCCATACCTTGGGAAGTCTGACCTGGCCACAGTGGTCCATGCTCTGGTTACATCCTGAATAGATTACTGCAACACACTCTACATGGGGCTGTCTTTGAAGACGGTTCGGAGACTTCAGTTAGTTCAACGGGCGGCAGCCAGATTACCAAATGGGACGGCATACAGGGAGCATACCACCCTCATGCTATGGCAGCTCCACTGGCTGCCGGTCCACCTCCGAGCCCAATTCAAAGTGCTGGTTTTGACCTATAAAGCCACGAATGGAGGGTGAAAGGGAGAAACGTGTCAAGAGGAAGAAGGTGCGTCAAGCCAATCCTGACCGGGACTGCGTTCCACCTAGAAACCGATGTCCTCACTGCGGAAGAACATGCGGATCAAGAATAGGGCTCTGTAGCCACCTACGGACCCACTGCAAAGACACTACACTTGGAAGGTGTGTTGTCTGGGCCTATGACAATGTCGGTTTACAGGACGTGCTTTCCGTATGCCCAACGGGACACCGGGGTGCCTCAGCTAAAGGGTCCCATAGGTTTCCCAACACAAAGTTCTGTAGAGGCTCCAAATAGGTTCAATAAAGTTCTTTATTAAGGCTTAAATTTTCGAACAAACAAATTAAATGCTTTATAATCTTGAAAAATTAGTAGCTTTCTTGATCTGCCAACAAGGGACAGGCAACTGCTTGATTTTTTTTTTTGTCGTGTCAGGAGCGACTTGAGAAACTGCAAGTCGCTTCTGGTGTGAGAGAATTGGCTGTCTGCAAGGACGTTGCCCAGGGGATCATCCTTGTGGGAGGCTTCTCTCATGTCCCCACTTGGGGAGCTGGAGCTGACAGAGGGAGCTCATCCGCCTCTCCCCGGATTCGAACCTGCGACCTGTCAGTCTTCAGTCCTGCCAGCACAGGGGTTTAACCCACTGCGCCACCGGGGGCTCAACTGCTTGATAAACTGTTCCTATCTTCTTTAGGGAAACCTTCCAACCCCTCCTTGGGCAATCTCTCTTAACCCTGCTGGCGTGAGGCCCCAACCCCTGGCTCCAAGCTGCATTATGGATAGCCCAAGTGGTCCCTTACCAGGTTGCTGTAGATCTGCCATGCTGGTGTCCTGTAGATTTGCCCCACAAAGGTTGTGGGACCATTTCTTTATTTTCCAGCAAAGCTGGCTGTATTCCCCCAGCAAAGCTGTGGAACTGTAACTTTACTCCCCAGCAAAGCTGTGAGACCTTTCCTATTTTCCCCAGCAAAAGCTATAAGAAGTGAAGCTTTTTGCAGGTGGGACAGAGAAAAGCCCACACGTCCTGCTGTAAGGCTCCAAACTGTGAGACTGAACTAAAAGTCCTCTTTTCCTGAACTAAAACTGGGGAAAGGGGCGGATCTAAAGGCTCTAATGATGATTGATAGGTTGATGGCTCTATGATTACAACCTGGGGAAAGCTCCCCAATTGTAAAATGCAAAGCCCAAATAAATTCAAACAAGCTAACAGTGCAAGAAAAAGAATCAAATCTCCTGGCACAGAAGGCCATCATATTCGGACAATGAGGGATCGCCTAACTAGTAATTCCCTGCTTAGAAAAGAGACAAGACCAACTCTGAATAGAAATGTCAGTCTTTTTATTATTATTTTTAAAAACTCGTGACATGTTTGGTTGTTGCTGTTTTCTTTGTTTTTGGAGAGAACGTACATACATTTGAGGAAAGTTCCAATCAACAGAGAGGAGGGAAAAAAGGAAATAATCAATTCTTTCAAAAAATACGGTTTAGTCTTCTAGAATATTATGTGGTACTCAAGGGGCGGGGGGAGAAAAGGCAACCCACTATATACATGGCTCTGGAGACCAATTGTGTGCTAAGCCGCATCACACATCGATGCTGTGTACATTTGGATTTGAAAATAGCCTGGGAAGGAATAATGTGATAGAAGTATGTCAACAAGTGCATCATGTTCCTCAATATGGCCTAGCAGAACGATTGCCCTCCAGAAATTATGGCATATGTTGTCATTGGTAACAGAAGTACATATCAACGTAAGGAAGTGTGAGAAGACATACATAAAGGACGATGGAAAGAGGATGAAAAATGGGAAGGTTAGCCATGCGACGTCATGTGGCGTTCGGTCACAGGGAAGGCGACAGCAAACAAATATATCAACGATTAATGATAATCTTAGTCACAGCTCTCTTGTGCATTGAAAATAAATTCCTGGTTCAGTAGATGATGAGTTCAATGTGTTGTCAAAGGCTTTCATGGCCGGAATCACTAGGTCGTTGCAGGTTTTCCAGGCTGTCTGGCCATATTCCAGAAGCACTCTCTCCTGATGTTTCGCCCACATCTACGGCAGGCATCCCCAGAAGTTGAAGGGTCTGTTGGAAACCGGGCAAGGGAGGTTTATATATCGGTGGGAGAAAGAACTCTTGTCTGCTTGAGGCAAGTGTGAATGTTGTAATTGGCCACCTTTAGCACTGAAAAACCTGGATGCTTCCTGCCTGGGGAATCCTTTGTTGGAAGGTGTTAGCTGGTCCTGATCATTTCCTGTCTGGAATTTCCCTGTTTTCTGAGTGTTGTTCTTTATTTATTGTCCTGATTTTAGATTTTTTTAATAATGGTAGCCAGATTGTTGTTATTATTATGGAATTTCAGTCAGGAAACAATCAGGGCCAGTGAACACCTCCTAACAAAGGATCCTTCCCAGCAGGAAGCAGTCATGCTTTGAAGCTGCAAGGCTATACTGTAATTTTCACATTGTTATGTATTCATATTTTTATGTAACTATGATGTTATTGTTTATTGTTTGCGTTTTCGGTTTGTGTTTTGGTTTTTCTTTATTGTAGTTGTTATTTGGGCTTGACCTCATGTAAGCTGCTCCGAGTCCCATTGGAGAGGTGGTGGCGGGGTGTAAATAAAGATTATTATTATTATTATTATTACTCAGTGTTAATAAAGGTGGCCAATTGCAACATTCACACTTTCCTCAAGCAGACTAGAGTTCCTTCTCTCACCCTGGAATGCTTCTGGAACATGGCAATACAGCCCGGAAAACTCACAGCAACCCAGATGGTGTGCTGTTTTAACCAAAACCCTTATGGTAGAGATTTCCAAACTGTGTCACACAAACCAGAAACCCCTAAGTCTATATGTGACATGAGCAGTACATCACTTAGTTTATATATATATATATATATATATATATATATATATATATATATATATATGAAAGGTTTTCATGACATATGTTTTGTTACAACAATCTGTATCTCTTTTAAGGGTTTGCAACTGAAATCGAACGACTGTGTTTCAAAATGATGCGTGCATCAAAAGTGTGTCACCACCAATTGTTTGGAAAATGAAGTGATTTCCATCTTGATGTTCACCAGACAGGGATTAAAAACTAGCAAAGTATATCACAGGCATGGGTCAACTTCGGCCAGATGTTTTGGTCTTCAACTCCCACAATTTCTTTGGTGTGCTATTAGCCTGTCATCCACATACTGGAGGATGTCGTCCACATACTGAAGAAATTGTGGAAGTCCAAAACACTTCCATGTCTGGCCTAAGAATGGAGGGCCGAAGTTTGCCCAAGCCTGGTATATCTGAATACAGAGGTGTCCATCTATGGGTCTTTTCGCTGACCGTACAATACCCGGAAATAGGTCTTTGGTGAAAAAATAGATATATGGCCTAAGCTGTGTAAATGAATTTAGATATATGCATACATATATTGAATCCATTGATTAAAAAGGAAATGAAATATTACACCTGTGGTCAAGTTACCAAGCAGAAGAGGGTCATCACAGCCATCTAAGCAGAAGAAGGTACCGTGGTCACAATGGAATCTATATCATTTTGGTCCGTATTTAAGATGTCGAGGGGATACTGCAGGGCTAGGAGGGATGGCTGTTTAGTCCTCATGGCATCATGTCTGGCCTAAGAATGGATGGGAATTTGTCCCCACTGGCCCAGGATGGAGATCTAACTTTCAAGGGAAGGCTCTGCTACGATGGAAGCAAAAGATAGATGTTCTCTCCCTTTGCACAGTTGTGTTACCCAAGGACGTTTTGATTTTGCTATGACCAAAACAAGGTGAGCCTATGCATTGCCTTCCCAAAAATAATGTTGGTTGCCATACCGCAAGGCCATGAATATCACTCATGATGTTTCAAGACTGGGACTTTGGAGAAGAGGACATTCCTAATATGGGAGAGGCATGGGTTGGATCTCTGCCCCTGTTATTCCTAGTTGCCTAGGAATAACTATTAATAATGTTAAATGTGCGTAAATAATCTCCTACACAGATATGATGCCAAGGCGTCTCAATTAAGACGAAACAACAAGGGATATATTTCCAAAAGCCATCGGCCCTGACTAGCTAAACAAATGAAATGCAGGATGGGACAGAAAACAAAGCCGAGACAGTTGAGTGAAGAGCAAAAACATCCCCAAGCAGTGGAGGGATAAGGTTGTAACCCACCCACCCTTTCGGTCACTTTTCCGAATCGCTTTTGATGATGTTCATGAGTGCGTTTTTGAGGCTGTTCTTGCTGGGAGATTTGACGGCGGGTTTGTGGCCCTCGACCTCAAGCTGGTCCCTCTTCAGTTCCATCTCGATGGTCATGACGACCTTTTTGTCTCCCGCCTTCTTTCGGGTACCTTCTCTGCTGGCTAACCGCTATTTCCGGTCTTTGCGGGAGTCGCACAGGCCTCCCTTGGACTTCTTCTCGCTGGCGGATTTGGTGAGGCGGCTGTGGTCCAGCATGGCATACAAGACAGGCGGCTGTGGAGGCAGAGGAAGGAGGAGGTTGGCATGGCGAGGCCAAGAAGCAGGCATCCGTCATGGGGTGCCACAGGCACACATTCACATGCATGTACAATCGCAAAATAACATAAATACAGCCAGGCGTCCCCTGGGCAATGCTTCTTGCAAACGGCTAGCATTTCCAACTCAAAAGCATTGTGTTACAACATACAATGCTTTTGACACTATCTCTCCCTCTATCTCTTTCTCTCTCTATATAGAATCATAGAATCAAAGAGTTGGAAGAGACCTCATGGGCCATCCAGTCCAACCCCATTCTGCCAAGAAGCAGGAATATTGCATTCAAATCACCCTGACAGATGGCCATCCAGCCTCTGTTTAAAAGTCGCTGTTTAAAAAGGAGGGAGCAAGCTTCAAACTACAAGAGAGGAGATTCCATCTGAACATGAGGAAGAACTTCCTGACTGTGAGAGCCGTTCAGCAGTGGAACTCTCTGCCCCGGAGAGTGGTGGAGGCTCCTTCTTTGGAAGCTTTTAAACAGAGGCTGGATGGCCATCTGTCAGGGGTGATTTGAATGCAATATTCCTGCTTCTTGGCAGGGGGTTGGACTGGATGGCCCATGAGGTCTCTTCCAACTCTTTGATTCTATGATTCTATGAATTAAGGGTAGGACACACTCCGGGGCAGAGAGTTCCACTGAACGGCTCTCACAGTCAGGAAGTTCTTCCTCATGTTCAGATGGAATCTCCTCTCTTGTAGTTTGAAGCCATTGTTCGTCCTAGTCTCCAAGGAAGCAGAAAACAAGCTTGCTCCCTCCTCCCTGTGACTTCCTATCACATATTTATACATGGCTATCATATCTCCTCTCAGCCTTCTCTTCTTCAGGCTAAACATGCCCAGCTCCTTAAGCCGCTCCTCATAGGGCTTGTTCTCCAGACCCTTGATCATTTTAGTCGCCCTCCTCTGGACACATTCCAGCTTGTCAATAAAACCTGAGCTCGTTTTGTGCTTTAGCCTTGCGGACCTTTTCCCTACAGGTGTTGGCTATTTGTTTGCCAACAAGGAGTTGTTTTTGTGCATGCACTGTAGCATCGTTTTGCTTTTTTGGTCTTTTAAGTCCCTTCTGTTGTGTTTTTTCAGTGTTTTTTATGAGTGATGATGACTCATTGGCCTGATAGGTGTATTGTGTCCAAATTTGATGTCAATTCATCCAGTGGTTTTTGAGTTATGTAAATCCCACAAACTACCATTACACACACACACACATAATACCAATGTCACCCGCTTCGTAGGAAATCCGCTACAAAACAGGAGCTTTTTTGTTGAGTTCCAGGGCTAGAGAAGCAGATGGCGGAAACAGAAGAATGGCCTGCCTCAGGGGAGCATACTTGCTCTGTCTATGTTCAACATTTACACAAGTGACTAGCCATTGCCAGAAGGGACAGAGAATTCATCTATGCTGATGATCATGCCATCACTGCCCAAGCAGAGAGCTTTGAAATAGTTTAAAAGAAGCTCTCTGAAGCTTTAGGTGCTCTTACAGGGAGTTGAAATCCAAAACACCTGGAGGGCTGAAGTCTGCCTATGCCTAGGATAGAAGTTAATTCTCTCATTGACTTATATTTATCTGTTGTTATTATATACCACTTTCTCTTGCACATCTCTTTATCCATCCCTTTTACCCTTGTGGATTCCAGCCACACCCCATATTGGCTTCTGAAGCATCAGCCAAAATGAGATTATTTCTTTCTTTCCAGACATCTCAGTCAGCCACAATTATATAGTCCCCCCACCCCCGTCAATTTGGGCATCTCACTTGTCAATTCTCAATAACACATTATCTTCCTTTTCAGTCACACACATACCTGACGGCCTCTTTTCGATGAGTCCTTGCCCAGCCTCAATCTCCCCTTCTCCATTGTACTAAACAAAAATGAAAGAAAAAAGTGAGTTTCTTGAACTTTTGGAAATCGGTGGTTACATTTCTGAGCAGGAAAGAATTGGGAGAAGGTTCAAGGTAAAGGTAAAGGTTTCCCCTTGACATTAAGTGGAGTCAATTCCGACTCTGGGGTGTGGTGCTCATCTCCATTTTGAAGCCGAAGAGCCAGTGTTATTTGTAGATACTCCAAGGTCATGTGGCCAGCATGGCTGCATGGAGTGCCTTTACCTTCCCACAGTCCCTATTGATAGCGGTACCTATTGATCTACTCACATTTGCATGCTTTCTAATTGCTAGGTTGGCAGAAGCTGGGGCTCTCAATGGGAGCTCATCCCATCTCGCGGATTCTAGCCGCCAACCTTCCGGTCAAGAAGTTCAGCAGTTCAGTGGTTTAACCCCTTGGGAAAAGGTTATCATGAATAAAAAATTGAGAGCTGCTTTTGGATTTCTAGATGGAGACTTCTGAGCACCTTTAAAACGTATTATTATTATTATTATTATTATTATTATTATTATTATTTAAGAATGGGTAACATATTACTTTTTTTAGAGGCAATGGTTCAAATCTTAATAAGATGTATATATATTTATATATCTCTATTCAACACATATCATCTATTGTAGGTTGGAAGGAACCCATCTTACCTGAGTCTCCGTTGGAGCGTTGCTTGTCTCCGCAGCCAGCAATACCTGATAAGGTAGGCTAATATCAAGACAACGAAAACCACGAGCAGAACGCCTCCAATAACAGCTCCCAACACCACGCCATACCTGGTAGGTACTAAAAAAACACAAAAAGTAGGTTTCTATTAAGATGCATGCAGAACAGATAGGAAACACCAATGTTTTCCAACATTGGTTCCCCCATTGGCCATCCCTGCAATGGCTTCTGGACATACTTATGCAACAATATCTGGGAATTCAAGGTTAGGAATTGCTATCTCCGGTCCCTCTGGCCCTGGACTATTTTGGGTGAGACACAACTGTTTCTCACAATGCAATGTGCCTAGCAGCAAATATGTAGTTGCAGCAGTATAAACAGAAACGCCATAATAGGTACTCGTGGCAAGTTTATGACCTTTGAGCTGGACGTTACCATTTTCAAAGACGTAGAGCGTGACCTGAGAGGTCTTCCCAACTATGTCCGGCGGGTTCTTGACATCACAGGTAAAGGTGCCATTGTCCGTGTACTCCAGGTCATGGATGACGATGGAGCCGTCCTTCCAGCGTGGGTTCCCGACCCACTCAATGCGCTCCTTGAACATCCCCACGTTGTCTATGTAAGGCTGGCCTTTAGCATAATGGAATATCTGGGGTTTGGTGACACAAGAACAAAGAGACGTGGGTGAGAAAGAGCCGTACATTCGCAAGAGAGCACCTGATATGCTTAGAAAAACTTGGCATGTTCCTTTCCCAGCATCTCCAAGAAGGAATCAGGTAAGTAAGTTATTGCCAGTCAGGATAGACAATAATTAACTACATGGACCAATTTCTTCTTCTTCTTCTTCTTCTTCTTCTTCTTCTTCTTCTTCTTCTTCTTCTTCTTCATACATACATACATACATACATACATACATACATACATACATACCAAGATTAGTACACAGCAAAGAATATCACTATGCTGGCTTTTGTATTGAGTCACACACCAAACACTTCTTTCTCCTTTCATCCCTCCCTTCCTTCCTTCTCTCTTCCCTTCCTCCTTCCCTTCCACCCTTTCATCCTTCTTCCTTTTGTCTTTCATTCCTTCCTTCCCTCTTTCTTCCCACCTTCCCTCTCTCCCTCTTTCTCCTTTCATCCTCCCCTCCCTCCCTCCCTCCCTTCTCTCTTTCCTTCCACCCTTTCACCCTTCTTCCCTTTTGTCTTTCATTCCTTCCTTCCCTCCCTCTTCCCTCCCTCTCTCCTTCCCTCTTTCTTCTTTCATCCCTTCCTTCCTTCTCTCTTTCCTTCCTCCTTCCCTTCCACCCTTTCATCCTTCTCTTCCCTTTCTCCCTCTTTCTCCTTCCATCCTTACCTTCCTCCCTTTCATCCTTTCTTCTCTTTCCTTCCTTCTTTCCCTTCCTTCTATCTTTCCACCATTCCATCATCCCTTCCTTCCCTTTTGTCTTTCCTTCCCCCTTTCCTTTCTCCCTCTTTCTCCTTCCATCCTTACTTCCTCCCTTTCATCCTCCCTCCCTTCTCTCTTTCCTTCCTCCTTCCCTTCCTTCCACTCTTCCATCTTCCTTCCCTTTTGTCTTTCCTTCCCCCTTTCCTCCTTCCCTTTCTCCCTCTTTCTCCTTTCATCCTCCCCTCCCTCCCTCCCTCCCTTCTCTCTTTCCTTCCACCCTTTCACCCTTCTTCCCTTTTGTCTTTCATTCCTTCCTTCCCTCCCTCTTCCCTCCCTCTCTCCTTCCCTCTTTCTTCTTTCATCCCTTCCTTCCTTCTCTCTTTCCTTCCTCCTTCCCTTCCACCCTTTCATCCTTCTTCTCTTTTGTCTTTCATTCCTTCTTTCCCTCTTTCCTCCCTCCTTCTCTCTCTCCCTCTTTCTCCTTCCATTCTTCCCTTCCTCCCTTCCTTCCTTCCTCCTTCCCTTCCACCCATTCATTCTTCCTTTCTTCCTTCTTTCCTTCCTCCTTACCTCTCTCCCTTCCTTATCTCTCTCATTCAATTGCAACCATTGAAATCCACAAGCAGGTGGACAATTTCAACAGAAAGGAGGAAACCGTGAAAATCTGGCTACCAGTATTTTAAAAACTCTCAAATCTGGACATACTAATGCAACAATATCTGGGAATCCAAGGTTAGGCATCACTATCTCTAGTTCCTCTGGTCCTCTATAATTTTTAATACTGGTAGCCAGATTTTCAACATTTCCTCCTTTCTGTTGAAATGGTCCTCATGCTTGTGGATTTCAATGACTATCAGTATTAAATACCATTATTATTATTATTATTATTATTATTATTATTATTTTAAAAAAAACCCTCTAGAATCAGGACAGTAAATAAATAACAACACTAAAAAAACAGGGGAATTCCAGACAGGAAACAATCAGGGCCAGCTAACACCTCCCAACAAAGGATTCCCGCAGCCAGGCTTTGAAAAGCTGCAAGGCCATTCAATACTAATCAGGTTTGTCAGTTGCAACATTCACACTTGCCTCAAACAGACAGGAATTCTTCCTCCCACCCTGGACATTATTCCGCAGACATATAGACCCCACTTGCCTAGTTTCCAACAGACGTCACAACCTCTGGGGATGCCTGCCATAGATGTGGGTGAAATGTCAGGAGAGAATGCTTCTGGAACATGGCCAGACAGCCAAGAAAACCCACACCAAACCAGTGGTAGGAGATGTTAGCATGTCTGAGAAAGGTTCTGGACAAGGCTTAATAATAATAATAATAATAATAATAATAATAATAATAATAATAACAGTAGCAATAATTATTATTATTAATAATATTATTGAAGGCAGAAGTCTTAAATTTAAATGACCTGGCAGTCAATAATCAAGGGGGAAATCTTACCGATAAGCTGTCTCTGCTGCTTTCCGGTTGAAAGTGCCAAGTGACCGAAATGTCATCGGAGATCCACTCGTTAGACCAAAAAGAGCAGTAAAGCTTAACATTGGAGCCCACTGTGCCATGGATCTCCCGATCTGTGTAAACGTGGATGGCCAAAGCTGGATTTAGCACTGCAAAGGAAGACAGGAGATGGTTATGCCAATGATCTGTCACTGACAACGCTATGGATGTGAGACCTATGCAAGTCAGGAAAGCAACCTAGTCATTGCATGAGGCCAAACTGAGGTCTCCAAATACTCTTCAGGCACATGGTAACAATTCAGCCAGATAACACCAAGACCAGATCCATATTCAGGTGAATATGGATCTGGTCTTGGTGTTATCTGGCTGAATTGTTACCATGTGTAGGTATAAAGCCCTAAATGGTTTGGGACCTGCCTACCTTCGTGACCGCATCTCTCTCCATGTACCAACCTTCGATCTTTGGGAGAGGTCCTCCTGCCACCTTTACCAATCTCACAAGCCTGTCTTGTGGGTACAAGGGAGAGAGCCTTCTCCTCGGTGGCTCCCTGACTTTGGAACTCTTTACCTGGAGAGATCAGGAAAGCCCTTCACTAGAAACATTTAAAAAGGACCTTAAAACCTGGCTCTTCTGCTGCACCTTTGGCACACCATGACATTTTGCACCCCTCAATGCTTTTCTGTTAATGGAGTTCACGCCCCCAAATGGGAAGTTCAACCTCATAAATCCCCGTAAATGTCTTGCTCCTTTTTTAAAATCTCATCACAGTTTTTAAATTGTTTTATCCTGTACATGTGGCCCGCCGATTGTTATTATTCTCGCTATTGTGATTGCATTTATTAGAATGTTATTTTAAGACTGATTATTATTATTATTATTATTATTATTATTAATGTACTTTGACGATGTTGTCGTTATTTGTTTTTTATGTTTTGATTTTATTATTGTAATATGTTGGCCCCATGTAAGCCGCTCCGAGTCCCCATCGGGGAGATGGTGGCGGAGTATAAGTAAAGTTTATTATTTATTTATTTATTTACAGCTTTTATATTCCGCCCTTCTCACCCCGCAGGGGACTCAGGGCAGATTACAGTGTACACATATATGACAAACATTCAATGCCAATTTTTGACATACAAACATATACAGACACAGACAGAGGCTATTTAACTTTTTTCTGGCTGCCAGGGGAGCTGTCGCTTTCATCGTCCATCTGCGATGCTGATGAAGCACTTCCGCATTCCCCGCATGCTTCCCCGCTGGAATGCTTTGCCGGAGTCTTCTTTATGGCCTCATAAATCAGTTAATTTAGCCTCCCCACACTTTGAGGTGGTACCTAATTTTCCTACTTGAGAGATGCAACTGTCTTTCGGGTTGCAAAGGTTGACAACAGGCTACACACAATTGGTTGGAAACCTACTCCAACCCGGGCTGGCTTCAAACTCATGACCTTTTGGTCAGAGTGATCTTAATGCAGCTGACACTCAGCCAGCTGCGCCACAATTATTATTATTATTATTATTATTATTATTATTATTATTATTCTCATAGCAACTCACATTAACAGTGCTATAATGCTGCCCGGCATCATATATTGCGGAGGTGCTTTGCTTCTGAACATTTGTTTTTTAACTACCAAGTTGAATAAATCCTTTGATCCATTGTTTCTAAACCTTTCCAACACAATTGGTGATAATCTTGTGGTAATGTTAAGATTTACATAAAGTACATAGGCTTGACTCTATACACAGAATCAACGCCGAAAAATCAACACATTCCTAAGACATGTGGTACAGGTCAAAATTACCCGTATATTCCGGCATATAAGACGACTGGGCGTATAAGACGACCCCCAACTTTTCCAGTTAAAATATAGAGTTTGGAATATATTCACCATATAAGACTACCCCTCTTCCAATGCACACCACATTTTTTGAAAAAAGCATCAGATTTGATTTCAATATGGTAATTTTGAACATTCACACCTAGCTCCAGCAGACAAGAGTCCTTTGCCCCATCCTGGTCATTCCACAGATATGTTGTTGTTGTTCATTCGTTCAGTCGTCTCCGACTCTTCGTGACCTCATGGACCAGCCCACGCCAGAGCTCCCTGTCGGCCGTCACCACCCCCAGCTCCCTCAAGGTCAGTCCAGTCACTTCAAGGATGCCATCCATCCATCTTGCCCTTGGTCGGCCCCTCTTCCTTTTCCCTTCCACTTTCCCCAGCATAATTGTCTTCTCTAGGCTTTCCTGTCTCCTCATGATGTGGCCAAAGTACTTCAACTTTGTCTCTAGTATCCTTCCCTCCAGTGAGCAGTCGGGCTTTATTTCCTGGAGGATGGACTGGTTGGATCTTCTCGCAGTCCAAGGCACTCTCAGCACTTTCCTCCAACACCACAGCTCCAAAGCATCTCTCTTCCTTCGCTCAGCCTTCCCTAAGGTCCAGCTCTCACATCCGTAGGTGACTACAGGGAATACCATGGCTTTGACTAGGCAATGGATCTTTGTTGCCAGTCTGATGTCTCTACTCTTTACTATTTTATCGAGACTGGACATTGCTCTCCTCCCAAGAAGGAAGCGTCTTCTGATTTCCTGGCCACAGTCTGCATCTGCAGTCATCTTTGCGCCTAGAAATACAAAGTCTGGCACTGCCTCCACGTTTTCTCCCTCTATTTCCCAGTTGTCAATCATTCTTGTTGCCATAATCTTGGTTTTTTTGACGTTTAGCTGCAACCCGGCTTTTGCGCTTTCTTCTTTCACCTTGATTAGAAGGCTCCTCAGCTCCTCCTCGCTTTTGGCCATCAGAGTGGTGTCATCTGCATATCTGAGGTTGTTAATGTTTCTTCCAGCAATTTTCACCCCAGCTTTGCATTCCTCAAGCCCCGCACAGATATCATTCCACAGATATATAAACCCTTTTTCCTAGATCCAACAGACCTCACTACCTCTGAGGATGCTTGCCATAGATGCAGGCGAAACGTCAGGAGAGAATGCCTTAGACCATGGCCATATAGCCCGAAAAAACCTACAACAACCCAGTGATTCCAGCCATGAAAGCCTTCGACAATACATTGTTTGGTTATCACCTTTTGGTAAACCTTTTTTGGATTATATATCTTCCTTTCTTCTTCCTGATTTTATATGCTTATAATATGTTTTTTTAAAAAAAAAAATAAACTGCTTGTTTATATTTCTGGACTCTTGTGTGATGCGAGGGTCGTAGTTGTTTCTGGAGTGCAACACAATGCTATTCAGGGGAGTCAGAAGTAGCAACAGCGGATAAGGAATCAAGTGAATAGCTGAGTGATAAGGAGGGTTTCCATGGGAATCCAGCTGCAGCTACGGAGATCAACAAAAGTCTTTGTTTACAAATCAGAGCCGAAAATAGATTGCGTAGTTTAGAGAGATTATGTGGGAAAGTTGTGAAAGAAATTCACGGGAAACGGAATGATTTCATGGGTGTCTATTAAGATAAAAGTTGTTTACCTTAAGGTCAGTTCAGGCAACATTGTGTTAGAGTGAGAAGCTAACCCTGAGTTCTCTTGTTCCAAGTTCCAATCAAGCTTTTATTTTGGATTTAATATATCCTGGAAGTTTGCTATGTTCCTGTTCATGTATTCCTGTTCAAGTTTTACTAGTTATACCTTCCTGATTGTGGACTTATGCTGTATCTGTAATCCCTGGCTGTTCCTGGACTTTGTCACCTCTGGAACTTTATGAGACATTAGGATTATACCTTTCCTCACTGGCTTATGAGGAGGAATAGTAGTTGGTAATACTACCATTATACCTCTGATTAATAGCTGCCATCTGTATCCGTGCCCTGCTCACCCCACCAGCTCAATAGATACATTGAGTGATGAATAATCAATTTGTCCCAAAGAAATGGGAAATCAATGTTTCCATTTGATGTTGGATATTTTGTCTTATGTCTGTTATAACAGGTGGTGCTTTTTATTGAATTTTAGTTTGTTAAGTTATAATTCGTATTTATATATTGGGTTGTATACATTTTGTTAGCATGGATGTATTGTTGTATTCAGGCCTTTTATGTTTGGAATCCACCCTGAGTCCCTTTAGGGAGATAGAGTGGAATATAAATCAAGTTTTATTGTTGTTGTTGTTTGGTTACCACCTATTAACCTTTTTTTTGGGGGGGGGGGTTATATATCCCCTACCAATCTCACAAGCTCGTCTTGTGGACACAAGGGAGAGAGCCTTCTCCTCTGTGGCTCCCCAACTCTGGAACTCATTACCTGGAGAGATCAGGAAAGCCCCTTCACTAGAAACATTAAAAAAGAACCTTAAAACCTGGATGTTTCACTGCGCCTTTGGCGAGTAGTTGCAAAAGCGGTGAAATGTTCGTCACTGGGTTTGTATTATTATTATTAATATTAATATTATTCTCTTTGTTTATATCCTGCCTTTCTCCCCACAGGGACTCAAAATGGCTAACATCTACCCACACTAAACAGTTCTACATGTGTGTATTAGAATAATAGAATCCTAGAGTTGGAAGGGTTCTCCAAAGGGCATCCAGTCCAACCCCATTCCACCAGGTAGGAAGACACAATCAAAGACCTCTCGACAGATGGCCAATTATCCTGTGCTGGAGATAGATCAGGCATGGGACAACTTTGGTTCTCCAGGTGTTTTGGACTTCAACTCCCACTATTGCTCCCCTCAACGATTCTGCCACTTGGGTACACGCCCTCCAAAGGGGAAGTTTAGTTCCACAACCCTGTGTGTTTTTATGAGCTCCCTGCAAATAACCTGCTCCTATTTTTATCGCATTAAGAGTTTTTAATTATTTTATCCTGTACATGTGGCCCGCCCACTGTTATCATGATTGTGTTTATTGGAATGTTATTTTGTTACTGTGTTTATACTTTTTTTTTCTATGTAATTTTGATGATGTTGCTTGTTGTTTATGTTCTGGTTTTATTTTGCTGTAACATGTTGTCCGAGCTTGGCCCCATGTAAGCCACTCCGAGTCCCTATTGGGGAGATGGTGGCAGGGTATAAATAAAGATTATTATTATTATTATTATTATTATTATTATTATTATTATTAGCTGTCCCCTGCCACACGTGGCTGTGGCCCACATGGGGGTTCTGTGTGGGAGGTTTGGCGCAATTCTATCATTG